ATTATTTTATTTTAAGAGTTATTGATAATAACACAGTAAAAATATGTAACATAAATGTATAACATGTAACATTATTATTTATTAATAATATAAAGGTATTTATTTATTGTTACATGTGGTTTTTTCGTGGCATTTTGAGCTACACAGTACATTATTTTTCCGACAAGCGCATCTATTTGTTTTGCACGATGTTTTGCAAAAACATTTTTGATAACCCTGCCCTCCAAATTGAGAATGTTTCTTCGCTATTTATCTTAATGTCATCATTGTATTTGGTACTTCGTCAAGAAATTCTGCATCGGTTGTCTGTAATACATTTCTGCTTAGCCACGTATTTATAATTCCAAATCGTGTACCAATTTGATAAACGTTATTTTTTTTGTCGACAACTTTGCCAATTATATTTTGTGTGTCCAATGGTCCACTATCTACCTTTGGAATATTAACTAAAACATAACTCCCAACTTTAATTATAACTAATTTCTTATCACTACATTGTATCATTTTTTTCTGCAGCTTTTTTTGTCCTTCAACAGCTTCTACTCTTTCTTTCTGAATTTGTTTTTCTTTTACACATGTGTCGCACAAAGATTCTTTGTTTATGATAGACACTTTAGAAATGCACTTTTTACAGTCATATATATTATTACCCTTGTAACAAAACTTGAAGTCTTAATGCATTATTAATTTTGTTAACATTATTTCCAAATATATTAATTATTTTACAATTATATAAAATATTCAAACTACAATACAATATGGATATAATAAATATTCCCTTCTCCTGAGGAGGTTATATAAAGATCACAAACGTAATATATAAACTGTATGATTCACAATACTGTGATATCAGTATACGTACGGCGAGATTTACACTAATATATCAACGTACTACTCATAGTATGCTACGTGTAAACGCTAACGGGCAGGTTTATCAAAAATGTTTTTGCAAAACATCGTGCAAAACAAATAGATGCGCTTGTCGGAAAAACAATGTACTGTGTAGCTCAAAATGCCACGAAAAAACCACATGTAACAATAAATAAATACCTTTATATTATTAATAAATAATAATGTTACATGTTATACATTTATGTTACATATTTGTACTGTGTTATTATCAATAACCCTTAAAATAAAATAATTAAAATGGTTTTTACCATAAAATGATTGTAGTTCTTAAAAGGCCTAACTGAAATTAGTATGTATGCAATGAGCCTAAAAAACAGCAGACTGAAAAAATAGTAAATAACTCTTAAAAGGCCTAACAGCTGTTAGTCTGTATGCAATGAGCCTGAAAAACAGCAGGCTGTTTGGAAAAATAATAAGTAGTTCACAAACGGGCTACCCCATTGCAAAGAGCCTAGTATTTTCGCAAAAAAACTAATTTTCCATATGGCCTACGACATATATACCAATATAATATATTAAATATCTACTGTTTATTCAACATTGATATACCTACATAATATATTTATATATATTGGATTGTAAACCAGTATTAAAATGTTCAAAACTATTAAAAATTATTTTATTTGGTGATCAATTAACATGGCGACTAATTTTACTCACGATTAATTCACTGACGACCAATTCACCTCGATCCGTTTTCCTAATATATCTCTCCTAATATTTTACTAATATGCTTAGAATGTAAGAAAATGTACAGTGGTGCACAGAGGTATTTTGAGAGCACATTCAACTAACAAAAGTTACCCATCCACCCACCCATAAATTGCATATTTGCTTACCATAATGATAATTTTGGATTTCCAAGTTATAAAACCACTTACCCACCTACCCACCCTCCTCGAGAGAACATGCAGTTGCATCACTTTCTAACCGATCTAAGCGCCACTGGAAATGTAAGTGCCCAAACTCGTTAATGTTAGGAAATATTACGCCTGAATGAGCTATAGATTTAGGAATTTTTTTTAAAGTATTTTAGGAAAATTCATCCAAAAGTATTCCTTTTATATAGTTAACCCGATGTCTACAATATTGCTGTATATGTCACCATAGTATCCAGAAATATATTCTATAGTTTCTAACTGTATAAAAATATAACCATCGCGATGCTCTTATTGTAATACCTTTATATTTATATCCATACATTTTTTTTTTAATTAATAAACGCCTGAAACCCTACCGGCTATTTAGGTAAAATCTAAAACATGCACGCCTTTGGCGTATAAAATTTTAGCACTTAAACATTATGAAGACGTGCTTTAGGTACGATATTTATGGGAATCTGGATATTTTTGAAAAACAAAACAGTAATTTGTTTACCACTTTGAAATTAGAAACAACAAAATGCTAATTGCTACATATTCTCTAATCCTGTTATTATTTATATTATTATAATATTAAGATCAACAACTGTAGTAGCGCAAACAAAATTTATTTATATACGTTATATGAAACTATTTTAAAAATGTCTTTTCATTCGGTTCAATCGTATCAAGGGATACGAGTAAATGTACTACACGAGTATCGTCGATCCTACAGAAACTTTTAATTACGTACACTTAATCTAACTTTAAATAATCTGTGTGTATTAACTATAATAGCTTGAAGATTAAGTAGATATCCGTATTTGCACTTCAATACATATCGTTTACTAGAAACTAAATTATGAAACTTATACACAAGTGTTGGATGTCGATTTAAAAGTAAACTCACACGTTTCGCTTAAGTTTAAAATGCCTCGACCATCATCCAGACAATTTCCATTAGTCGTACAACTGATCAAAATTTGAACGCCAGTTCATTAGCGTTCACTATAAGTAAGTAAAAATGTCAAGTCCATCGGTCTGCAGTATGATTAGTATTCGTAATTTGTACATTGTTCAGTGGAGAAGGATGATACAAGTTAAAATCCCATAGGACCGTTTCGAGAGGTGTGTCACCTAAATCATCAGTGAGACAGATTGTGTGTACGCGACGGCGTTTGCGGGACACGTCCTGCGGCCGAGAATCCTCAAACCACGTAAGCAGTGTTTTAATATGCATCACACCGTTTTTCGTGTGTGCGCGTGTGTGTGTATTTCACGTACATATACTTATGTAAAAGGGCAAATCCGTATTTAACCGTTATTGCGGTCCATACGAACACGTTTGCTACAGATCGCGAACTAGTCAAATTTATGGTATTTCCGTGAAATTTGTAAATACCGTCGGGAAGCGTGTAACCCTGCGCCATACTAAATGACGAATTTTTTTGTTTAACGTCTGTGTAAAACTTGCATTTTCCCGGAGTAGAATTTTTATAAATTTTGAATAAAGCTCGTAAATGATCTGACCCTATGTAATGCAATACTTTCATACATCGATTGTTAATATTACGATGTGTTGAACTCCGCGATTTAATAACATTATACGCAAATAAGATGGAAACAAAGCGACACATATTTAAGGAAGAATTTTGCACATTTTAATGTGTCACATTTTAGTCATATTTGCATACTCGGAATATGGTTTTTATTTAGATGCAATGCACCTATATAATACCAGAATAACACCATACACGCACGCACGGTTCCGCAAAAGGCGATTGTTGTTTTTTGCGGTTTTTTTTGCGGTAATCTGCATACATATTTATATTTTATAGGTACGCGTGGGTAAACACCCACAGTGGTTACGATTATTTTATCTTTCCCCGTTAAGTATAGTCACCTATCAGGAGGGAACACGCGCTGTTTTTTACGATTGTTATGAATAATTATAATAAGGAAAAGCTGCAGGCACTTAAAAAGTGATCTGTCATCAGTGACCACATATCGGTACTAGAAAGCCATAGTCATACCTGAGGAAGTTTTGGGGTTTAGGGTTTCAAATCCTTCCCTTCCCGAAATTTTTTTTTGTTATATTACATTACAGGAAAAAAAATTAAAATAATCGATTAATATTGTTGGTTTATGTCAAATAAATAAATATAAATAGACTTATATTTATTTAGATACGATTGATAATATCCGATGAATTCATATCGGGGTGGAAACCGGATTTTTTAATCTTAACCGGATTATTTTTGGTAAATTGCAGAGCTAAAATGAATAAAAACAAAATACCTACATAATGCAATGAGAAAAGACAGATTAACTGACCTAATATCACTCGGTATACACAGAAATATTGATGTATATCCAGAAGAAATTATAAATCGTTTTTCAATTGAAGAACACGTGATTCCCGGGTTTTGGCTTGCGCCTACGTACACCCGGTCCGCATGTTAGCGCTAGGCGCTATTCGCGGGCCGAGGCCGTGCGGGAGCGACGCCGGCAAGCCGGACGATCGGTCCCGGGTCGTCTATGGACCACCAGCACCGGCCGAAGCCGTACCTTTTCGAGGCCGGAGAGACCGAGATCTCTTTGGGTCCGACCTCCCACTAGGTACAGTGGTTTGGCTTTCCACTATCGTCGCGCCGGTCCCACTGCCACCACGTTGCAGCCGAGATAGGCTCCTCGACCTTGAGGGGCACTGTTTCCCGTACGGCGAGCCGGACGGGCGTACAGTGGTGCTCCCCTCTCCCGTGGCACCGATGAGGTTTTAAGTTGATATCGGTTGATCAACTCGGTCCCCATATACAGGGCACTTCCCACTATTTTGGCTTCCCAGGCCGGCTATTGGTGGGCCTATCAATTGAAGAACAATGAAACATAAAATTTGTCATTTATACATATATGTATATATAATTTGCCTAATTAAGTTTAATAATTTTTTTAAAATTCAGCAATAAAAATTATTGAATGTAAGTTTGAAAAACATTACTATTGTAATATTGCCCTCTATGCTATACCGAATTGTTTGAAAAATATTATAATAAAATTAGAATACCAAAAATGTTTAATTTACAACCCCCTCACTTCCCTTCGATTCGCCCAAATATCCGAGATTATCTTTTAGTGCTGTTGCGACGCGACAGTAACGCACGTATTTACAAATTGAATATTATCATGCAGTCGTTTATGTGCAATAATATAATGACGTTATGCTGACAGGTGCCGTACGAGGAGACGTCGTGTCTGGTGGAAGTGGACTGGGAGAACGGATTCGTGGAGACGTCGGCCAAAGACAACATAAACGTTAGCGAGGTGTTCAAAGAGCTATTGAACCAGGCGAAGATCAAGTACGAGCTAGGCCCGTCGTTGCGGCGAAACTCCGCGCGAAGACAGTCGTTGCCGTCCGGCGGCGGTTCAAGCCAAGGGTCGATGGTGCCCACACCGGCTCAACTCGCGCACCTGCAGAAAAAAGCAAGCGGCAAGGACGAAAGTGGTGGTGGAGGTGGTAGCGGGGGCAGATCGAAACGCAACTCGTGTTCGATATCATAAAAAACATTTAAAAAAAATTTAAAAAAATAAATAAATGGGAAAAGAACATCAAGCAAAAAATACTACTACTATTACTACTACTACTACTACTACTACTACTACTACTACTACTACTACTACTACAACTACTACTACTACTACTACTACTACTACTACCACTACTACTACTACTACTACTAATATGTACTACTACTACTACTACTACTACTATGTACTACTACTACTAATACTACAGGGTGTAGTAATATATTGTCGTCAATAATATAACTACCACGACTATACGGTGTTATTGTTTAACCGTTTTCATAACGTCTACTGCAACGATTCCTATACCTGCGTGTTTAGTAACGTGTTTAAAAAAATGTTATATTCCTTATTGGCAAGGGATATGGTAAATTTATGCGAGACTCGCATGTATAAGATAACCCTTGTACGTCATTCGATTTATTTCATTAGTGGTTTTTACTCAATCGAAAAAAAGCATTCCTAAAAATCTTTATGTATATATAATAACACGTTTAGATGCGAGACGATGGTATATCCATCTTACATCTTACACATCACCTCTACCTTTCAATACGCTGCTATTGACTAGTGGCGTATTTCCAAATGGATACTGCTTTACTATATTATACGACTCATAAATCGTGCAATGTAACCGACCGTTTTACTAATTATATAAAAAATACTCGATCGTTGCTACCACGTGATAAAATATTTTACAGCTTCTATTATCAGAAACGTTTTTAAGAAGGACGTTGTGCATGCTTTTGGTTTAAATAAAAATAAAAAAATATAAATAGATCGAACCACGATTCCGATGAATCGTGTGTCAGCACTGTCATTTATTGATTCATTTTAATGCATCTTCTATTCGGATTCTCGTTTTATTTATATTACCTGTTTATGCTTCGCGATCGTCACAACCGGTCGCTTTATTTTAACGGCACCGTTGATGGTTTTAATAATTTGGAATAAATTAATTTTATTACTCGCACCGTAACCGTTTTCAAATCAATAACGCATTGATCCTCGGCGATCGACGATAATCCTGTTGAGCATCTACAAAACGAGCGCTAAACGTCTCAGTTTCGGTTGGTCGAACGTAAATTGTTCAAACTGTAATGTATTATATTTAGGGCACCATACGCGAGCAGCGAAACAATGCTATTTAGATTTCCCTCGTGACGATACACATACGTGCATGGGAATAACTATAAAGCCGAATAAATATTTTAGGATTTTTAGTCGGCAATGGGAAATTCGAACTCCCCGCGACACGATGTTTCTGCAATTAGCATTGCATCGCTCAAACATTTCGATTCCGAACCCACTGCCGTATTGTTTTTCGTTTGAACCATTGGAACAGAAATAAAAAATGTAATTAAATGAAAAAAAAACACTCCCCGTGTTTAAATAGATACCTACCATAGTGGTTTCCAACCTTTCAAGTAACCTTATGTCATTCTCGAAAACCGCACGCGTTATACACATCATGTTGACGACTGTTTAATAATATCATATGTTAATGTGAAACCTCACATTAGTCCACGTTGCCCGAATATTTAATTTTCTACGAACCTACAAACTGCGTTTTGACCGTTACGATAAAACATAAATAATGAGCACGTGTGATATCTCACCCATACCAACCCTTGATTATTTCTTAGTGCTATCATAACAAACGGATTCAGGTGTTCAAATAAGGTCAGCAGATCCATAATAGTGGACTTGTACGGAATGCATCGGTAAGTTCTTACTCCTCTTTTACAAATTATTTCAATCGTTTTGTAACTAAAAAACAATGACATTTATTTATTTTCTTGATAAAAAATTTCAAAAAATATTTACTAAGTAATTTAGTTTGACCCAGGTACACAATTCATATGAATGCCCCCAACAAAATTTGACGACTAAATGGCTGTCAAATCCTATCATTATAATCTAAAAGAGGAATAGGTTTTTTAATTTGATTTTCCAAAGAATAGATTCGATTTCGAATAAGACGTTGTATCTATCGACGCAACTAGGGCGCAAGGTGTTCTTTAGAGCCCCCTGTGATTAAATTTAGCCCCTTGTATTTTTTTTTCTGATCAATCTATTATAACTACAATGAAATACTATCAATTTTAATTTCAGCGATTTCAGCACTCCCAATATGGATCCTAAACTCTCCTGCGGTCGTACCTACTACCCACATATTACTCTATCGTGCAAGTAGTCCACCTGCTATACTTATTTAAATCTTGCAGAGTTTTCTGGATGCGCGTGTACATGATTAATTGGTGTACAGAATATTTTTTTTTTTTATGCATAGACATATCACCCATAACGTGAGAAACGTTTAAAAATTACGACACTTGCGTGTTACACGCGTTAGATACGTAATATTATACAGGAGCGACCGCGAGGCTCTGCCATAATCATTTCCCAACAGAAATATCGTTTTGATCCGTGCATTTTAGGGCCCGGTGTAAAATACCGTGCAACCGATTTACGTAAAAAGTTCAATCGCTCCACGAGCTACATACAGCTGTTTAATTGTATCATAGTTTGTGAAATGTTGTTTCCGAAACGATTGAAAATCACGCGAATGAAAAAAGAAAAAAAAATTGTTGCCCTATTACCTCTTTACATATTATCTATCCAGGTTTTTGCCAACGGTCGTCGTGTACCGTGTTGCGTGTACAAGGTTTACTAACTAGATCCTTAAATACCGATAGTGATGAGCAACGAGTGCCGATGTTACTAGGTGCGGATCTAAGGAGTATTTTTTTTTATACATAGCAAAATAAAAACTGTTCAATTGTTTTTTATTGATCATATAAGATTTTGCAATATCCATAAGGATATAAATAAATATTTACATTGAAAATAATATAAAAAATATAAAGACAAACAACGATAACTTGGCTTATTGCCAAAATAAATCATACTATTAATGTGTAATACCACAATATTATGTTATTTCATTCCTTTAATTGTTATACGATTTAACTGTATACATCCTATGTATCCTATTTTTTTACATGTTCAGTTTTAGAAGATTATCTCATGACATCTGTTGTACACTTGAACACATCGATGGTCCTCGGGTACGTTATTGTGCCGTGTCCGCCGGAGAAGGTGAACAATATATTAACGTCGAAAATGTCGGCTCGCCGAAATCCGATCGTCCTTCGATCTTTCTCCTTAACGACTCCAATTTGTTTCGTAGATGCTTATTCATTTAGAGATCCGATGAAAAATTACGTCCATGTACGTCCAAGCGGGCCACCTTACCTCGCGCACCATTACCGTCGTCCGGACGACGAACCGCCTACGTTCCAGTCGAAATACAAGCGCCTTTTTTAATTGTTCATTATAATCCCGGCCGATCATTATCCAACATTTTCAAGGGGACAGGACTGCGTTCGAAAAAAAACCACATTGCACATCCGTGCGCCTGTTAAAACGTTACGATGTTGTCCATCATAATAATTACAGCGCGCGGTAATTACTACGAACACAACAGTCTGATGATGTAAACAATAACTAATATCTCCAAACGTATATTTTCAAAAGAGATACAAGTAGTTCATTATAATACACATAAGTTCGAAAACGTATTATCCGTTGCCGTGCGTACCGTTTTGTGATTAAGTGTTGTACGTCGTGATCACCAAACAATTGGAATTTCAACAATCGTATTTAAACAAAAATTAATTCATGTCAGGTACTTCGAAACGTATTACTCGTGTTGTAGAAACTAGGCGGACTAGTAGGAGTCGATATGAAAAATCCTTTATCCGTACTGATAATATGATTGGCATTTGTCGTTTATCGAACGTTAAAACGCTATACGTAGGCAGAGGTGTAATCTTAATACTGTAAATACATTTCAAGAGGGTGACAATATACACCGAAAACTAATAATAATATGACTATATAACTAAATACTGAGGCAAGTTAAACTAAAACTATTTGTTCGATGTGTATTAACACGTTCATGCCAACACAGTTATTTATATGCTTATAACTATAGGCGAAACTAGACACTTTTATTAGGTCAGGCCAAATGAAAAATATAAAAAGTATTATTACGTAAAATCAACTATTATTTCCTATAGTTATAAAAATAAACGTCAAATGTCTAAATTAAACAACAACTAATAAAACCGATTATTCAAATGCATAGAATAGACTTATTATGTTCTATTATAATCCTTATTTGTACCAATTGTACTAATATATTATATTATATTATAGTATTAAATAAAACGTACAAATGTATACGTTTACATGTATAAATATATTATTTATAATGCCTAAATAATTATTAAAATATATAATATATACATATTTTTCGTTAGTATTAGGTCAGGCCATGGTCTGACCCGTAGTTTCGCCTATGCTTATAATGATTTAACGATCTACTTACAATGCTAGCATATCCCAGTAGAACGGATTTTATAATCCATTAGCCAATTTTTAAAAAAAATTTCAAAGTTACAAACTTAACAGCATAAAATTTTTTTTATCTGTACTAAAGGCGAACTTGTAAAGTATTCTTATAAATATTTAATCAATTATAAATTATTTGAATTGTTAATGAGATTAGTAAAATATTATAAAAGTTTTTGTAGAAAATATTAGTGTGGACGAAAAAAACTATTAAGAAAATTATATATTATAATAAACATATTTCATCTTAATGAACAAATTATTTAATAACATAAATGTACTGTTCATAAAATGTGTTTTAATTTCTAAATCGGTAATTGTAACACTTATTAGTCTTTTTTAAAAAAAAAAAACTGTATTTGAAATAAGAATAAGTACTTTTAAGCTAATTGTTGAATATTTTAATAAATATTATGATCATTTCATTAGAAAAGTAAGTACTTTTAATGTGTATTTAAAATATAAAACTATTCTTTACAAGTCTGAATAAAAGTAATATCAGAATATTGTACTATAATTACACAACAAAATGTTCATAATTATTTTAAATGTAATTCTGGTTGTTTTTTGATTTAATAATAGTTTCAATTATATTGTAATACTGCCTATGTAATATAAATATTAGTGATGGGTCGAACCCTGATTTTTTAAATCGAACCGAACTCGAACTCAATACTTTTCATCATGTACATTGTACCTACCAACAAATTAAATCAACCGTAATTATTAATTACCATAATATTTTAAGTTTTCGTATTACCTATTCTACATTATAACTTTTAAATCTAAGTAATTGTATTATTTACAATACATTTTAGATAATTTCTTGTTATTATTATTATTCAAAACCGATATTGTGCTTTCTCGTGTTGTCTTGTAGCTTATAAAATATTCATTGAGTATTTCGCATTGAGTGTAATATGACAATACAATCAATACATTTTAATAATATATAAAAAAAATAGTAGTAATAACTATAATTCACAAATATAGAACGATTAGTAAAATTTATAATGTAAGACATAAGTTATAAACATGTTTTTATTAACAGCACAGTCGCGGTATCGGAATATTACCATGGATTTACCCAAAATAGATTTTAACCTCTACAATAAATATGATAAAATCAAAAATAGCTAATTTATGAATGTAGATACACTACCTCTATTGGCGATAAACAACTTATTAATGTGTTGGTCGGCGGAAGGTGAATGTGTTACATGCGACTGGAAAAACAACATTATTATTATAAATAATACATAACGTGCCTTTTACAGATTATCACTTTCTATCACCAATATTCTAATTATTTCTAAATAATCATTATCAATTTTTATTTTTCAAAAATAACTTATGAAGAATTGTACAAATATTTGGTTTTCAAACTATCGTGGCGAGTAAGTATGGTTCGATAAATATATTCAAGTTCGAAATTCGAACCTAACCGAACATCAAGAGTTCGGAGATTCGAGATTCGAACAGTTTCACCCATTACTAATAAAAATATAACCATTTTTAAGCAGACTATGAACTTGTAGTTACTAAATAGGCAATATCATCTTATTTAATTAGAAAATGTAGAAAAATACATTTATATAAGTTTTTTTTTTTTATAGTAAACATAATACTTGATGCTTGAAAAATATGTTTAATATTAACATTTTAAGTTTTGTACATACATTATTTCATGCTAAAACCAATTGTTTAGACTATACTAATCGAATCCAAATTATATTTATATATATATATATATATCACTGGAAGTATATAAATTACACTTGCATTTTATTTTAACACAACATGTTAAGTTCCTAGAATTATTTGTTTTTATTAGTCTTCCAAGTGTTTAGAACTTAATTATAAATATGATTATAATACTAAGGATAATTTTATTAAATGTTGTCGCTATAATTCAGAACAATTTTTGTATTAATTCAAAATGTTTTATAATACTTAAAAATTTGCAATTTTATACAGAAATCAGTGGAAACATTGCTGATATTTGTATCGTCAATTTGGTACTTATATAAGCATTTGTTAATAGATTAAGTGTTTTTAAAATTTTAATAGATTATAAAATGTTTTTATGAAAACAAATTGAGCACCAGACTTAAAACAAATAGTATTTATACAAACATACAATACATATATTAACCTTAAACATTTGAATGTGAACTAACTACTATTAAAATTCACTCCACTACATAAACCTTTACTTTTTTTAACCAAAACACTATTTAGTGAAAAAAAATGAAATCAAATAAATATACAATTTCAATGAAATTATTGTTAGTTTTGAACTCTAAGGATAACTACAACTCAATTATCCAATAAAAACATCGAAAAAAAAAATAATAATAATAATTGATAAATACATACACAATAAATGTAGGTATATTTATTTAACATAGGAAGAAAAATACACGCGTACAATTTCTTTTAATGTACATAATAATGATAAAATAACTTTATTATCATATGAAATTTTAGTGATGAAAAATATAATAAACCTAAGCTACAATAATTGTAATATTAAAAATTATAAGAAAATTATGTTTTTCATTTAAATAAAAAAAATTAAATCCATAAATCAGTCGCATGTATCTGTGCATTTCAGAAACAAATACAAACAGCTCGTATGTCTTCATGAGTAGGTTACATTTATTAGATCATATTCGCGTCATGTTGAATCTGATTTAGGTTTTTTAGGTTCAGCACCATCAGACATATCATCTTCTTCAACATCGTAGTGTGGACGTTTTAGTTGGGGTTTTAACTTTACAATAATACATGTCATATTGTCACAGCCAGTACCATCACTCAATGTATTAGGCGCCAAACACGTTCTAAATAACTACAAATCAAAATTTTATTATATAATTAAACATCTGTAAACTGAACACAAAATTATAGTTATACTTCTTCACAAATTGATGATAATTTAATATCAGGTTTGTTGATATGTTCAGATATAAAATCAACAACATCCTGGCTGCTTAATGAATTCCAGATGCCATCACAAGCTAACACTAGAAAACTGTTACTAGATGTAGAAGTAAAGTCTATGACTTTAACATCAGGTAAAGCTGTAATCATTTGTTCGGTATTTGGGAGATCATTATTTTTCTTATAATTATGATCACCTAAAAACAATTAGAAGAAATACACAATACATTTTATAACTCATTATTATTATTTATTTATTTATTATTATTACTATTATTTTTTTTTTTTTTTTGTAGAAGGATTTGGGACAATTATGAATTATGAATAGTTATATATAAAAACGTTTTAATACAATCCATTGTAAAATATAGAAAATGTCAACGATTACAAGGGTAAAATATCACAATTAGCTATACTTGTATAAAAATGCAAATAAAATTTTTTTCTCAATTGATATTAGGATAAGAACTGTTTCAAAAAAATTAACGCCTATACTATTGTACATTTTTAACCAATTTCTTCTAACTAAAATGCTTAAAGAACAATTTCAACATTTTTTTTTGGATTAAATTTAAAATATTTTGATCAAAAATATATATGTATATCAAAAATACTATATGATCAAACATCTCTAATTGTTACCTAAAGCTCTCGATAAATTTAAACCTCCATTCACACGTCCATCAGATGAAACTCTTCCACCAGCTGCAGTTATTCTACTTAATTCTGGTTCATCTTCTGGTTTATGATCTTCTGACATATCATGGGCTTTACCGTTAATAGATACAACACACCTTGAATCTCCAGCATTAGCAACATACAGTTTATTTTTTACTAGAAGAGCCATAACTGCAGTACAGCCACTGTCTTTTCCTGCCTGAAAAAAGAATATTAACAATCATAAAATACTATTTTTTAAAACCAAAAGTTGTAATTCATACATAATTATTATTTATCAGTTAAATAAAAATCTAAAAATACTCACTTGTTTATATTATAACAAATACAAAATTTGTTTTTACTAAAAAAAAAAAATATATTTAGTAGAATTGTTGTCTAATGACAAACATATATACTCAATTCTCAAATTAATATGTTTTTTTCATTAGTATTTAAACTCTTTTAAATTTTTATTTTCTGAGAAGCTGAATTGTTTTGTTATTATAAATCTAGTGATACATTTTATAAAAGGAAAAAATTACTATTTTTAAATTTAAATAAATTATGCATGAATAAAAAATTATTTCTTTATAAATTTAAATTCTACAATGAAATCTAATTTCAAAATTGGAAGAAAAAATTGATTTAATATGCAAGTTAAGACCAACAAAATAAAAAATATATTTTAGTTCTGTTCTTGATACCGTGATACCATTAATTTCTAGGAATTTAGTTATTTAAAGTTCTTTTATAACTAAAAAGTCTACACTCTATTAATAAATTAATTGGAAAATTTAAGATTTCAATTTGGATGAATCAAAAAAAAAAAAAAATGTATTACCTCATCTTCATCATCAGCACCAATTAAAATACTATCATCGTCATCGTCGTCATCATCACCATCATCATCATCATCATCATCATCATCACCGTCATCATCAGATTCTGAATTTGACCCTTCACTAGAAATTAATTATAATTGAAATATTTAAAGTAATCTAAGTAATATAATGTAATTTAAGTAATATTCTGCTATGTAAATTATACAATATTTTTATAGTATATAATTTCAAGTCATAAATAGGGCTTGTGATTCATTGTAAGTACATTTATGTACATCATTACAATATTTAAATGCATAATTATAAATATTATTTCTTACTTCTATTAGTATTTAAGAATAATAAAAGAAATAACTAAAGAATATTTATTTAGTGTCATAAAATCTGAAAAATATTTTAATATATTAGAGCTCCTTATAACTCCCTAAGTATAATTACATACAAAACTCTTGTGTATAAAATATTTAATTTTTCATGTTAAGTTTTTATTTTATAATATTTGACTTAATGTGCAACTTAATTTATTTCAAATATTTATAATTATTAACTTATAGCTCAAAAAAATACACAAATATGCTTTTAAAAGTTATTAAAATATGCATTATAGTATGCATTAAAAAAAAAAATGACCACATAGTACACAATATAAAACGTGTCCATTGGATTTAAATATATTTTTAAATTCCGAAACAAAACTTTGTAGTCGGCTACTCGTAGACTGTTGTACTTTCAGCATTATACAATGCTATAAAATCACGTACGACCGTTTTACTTATGATTCAACGGATGTTGGGTGGTTTCGAGACGCAAAAAAAACGACGGATAATAATCGACTGAACTAAACAAATAAATCTATTATTATATATAGAGTATTATCTTTATTGACATCCGGTCGATACTGGTTTATAGTATTATTCATACTTACACAAAAATTATAACGAGATATAAGAAGTAATTTGCAGATAGTATATTACTGGAAGCATTAAGTCCTCTTAGTACATTTTTTTTTCGATCGGTTGAAATATGTATATATAGTTTTTAATTTTAAATTTGAAAAATTTGTCAAAATATGCAAAATAAGCATAACAATTTTAAAATATGCACTCCTACAAAATCTATCAAATATGCAAAAATATGCACATTCAAATTTTAGATCTGATACCATAGCACTGAGAAACTAATTTATTTCGCACTTTGCTATATTTAACAATAATTAAAAAAAGTATGCAAATGCTAGAAGTCCCTAAGCCTATTTATAAGCCATTGTACTAACTATATGATAATTTGGATTTAAAAAAAATTGAATAAATGAATCAAACCACAAACATAAACACAAATACATATTAATTAAATTTTACTGTGTTTAACTTACATAGGAACTTCAAAAATTTCATCGTCATCATCTGTGTCATCAGAATCATCAGTAATTAAACATGCAGTTCCAGATCTTTGTCCACTACCATTTTGCCCATTACTGCTACTAGGGCCACATTCAATTTTACTACTTTCAGCACCAATCTCCTGAGTATCAAATTGTTCATCATCATTAGAAGTACCATTTACATTAGTTATTGATGAACTTTCTAATATTTCAGATTTATTTTCATCAGTTCCATTTGTTTTAGTTAAAATGTCTATAACATAAATAAATTAGTCAATGTATTTTAAAATAATATTAACATCACAAGCAAAAATACTTAATATTATAACATACCAACAACTGTAGTGCTACTACTAGAAGATTTTTCTTTTTCTGATTCTTTAGAAGAGCCAGGTAAATCTTCTCCAGATTCTTCTATATCATTGTTTTCTAATGATTTTTTTATTATTTTATTTTTATATTTTAATAATATTTCTTCGATTGGCATATTTGCTTCTTGATAAAGCTCGTTAAGTTCTTCTTCTTTTTCATTATCTTCACCTTCTACAGGAAACAATGTAATTTAATATATAAATAATATTAAACTATATAAATTACTAATACACATCACTTATATTATTGAAATTAATGAAACTAAATGACTCATAATGCGTGATAATTTAAGTATAGAAAAAATGTTCAAAATTAATTACGTCATTTGATTCTAAAATAAAAAGAGTTAAATAACAAAACAAAATATATACTCAATTATACAGTCAAGTTGCGATAACTCGAAAAACTTGACAACTGGAATTGTGTTTTATTCCTCTAGAAAATTCTTCCCCTATAAATTAGTTAGATATCTCAAAGTGAATTTTTATGCCCCTTCAACTTCGAGTTATTGAGACTCAATTGTAGTACGAATTTCAAGTTTCATAATATTAATATGTTAAATTCATACACAATGAAACACTACTTAACCTTCATCTTGGCGCGCGGGCGGTAATTTACCACCTCTTTCGTAAAAGAGCTTGGAAGTTTTACTAGCGTGTGTTGAGGAGGATGGGAGTTTATCAGTATTCTCAGTTAACACAATATAACACTAGGTGGTAGTGTCATCATAGATATTGTTTCACGGTCAGTTGTATCAATCAATGTCAAACGTGTACAGTCCGTGGTTGGCAGTAGTTTACCAGACACGCGCCTAATAGTGTTTTTTTTCTATCGGCAATCGTAACAAAATGTAAGAATTGATTTCAAATTTTTTTATAAGGTATATTACTTTTATATTCCATAATTCCACAGTAAACGTATCCAACAGCATTATCATGACTAAGCATTAGACTAAAATGCATCTCTTGTGACAGAAGCATTTGTCAAAAACACTGATCACATAGGTGATACGTGTAATAATAGCCAGAATGATGAAATAGTTGATTCTGATGAGGATTATGTTTGATATTTAAATTTGTTTTATTTTTACATTTTCAATGTTTAACTTTATATTATTATTTTTTTTAAAGGTTCAATGTTTTAATAACTTTATTTTCTTTACATTTTTAATTTTTCAATTATTAATGTTTGTTACTAAAGTTAATAATTATGTTTTTTTTTCAATATTCGAAGTTTTAATAATATTTTTTTATGAATAATAAATTATATTACTATATTACATATTGTGTATTAGATTTTTTTCATAATATTTATCAAATCTAAAATATTTAAGATGAAAAGTTGGGCTAAAAAGTAAAAAAAAACTCAGAGGCAGTAAATTACTGTTGTGCGCCCGGTAGAGCTATGGAATGGAGGGTCCCCAGATGAAGGTAAAGGGAATTTTTAAGAAAAATAAATCATAATCTATGTATTAAATAGGTATGTAGAATTTTTATCTTTTAATAATCTCAACTATGACACTTTTAATTATCCTGAGAATGTACGTTACAAACTGATTTCACAATACATTCTTAAATTTATAAGATATTTTATTTAGAACCCAGTTTAGAACAGTGTGATTTAAATTAATATGTAAAAAGAGCAAAACTCCTACGTCAGGTTGGATACTGGAATAGATGAAATGTATTTCTGCATAATTCTTTTAAACATGAAAATATACCAATGTACCATTGTTCCCAAAAAAACGAGTTGCGTAGATCAATATTTTTAAAGATGTTGATAAAGTGGAAGAACTTATTTTTTTCATAAGGTATAAGTTAAACTTTTAATGTTTTAACTTTCATACAAAAAAAAAAGCGTCTAATATTAGGGAAAATCTTGTGTGTATAAACAGAATAAATTTCTTAAAAATAATTCAAAACTATGAAATAATATTTGTAACTTATTAAGTTATTAATAACTAATATTTATTATAGGAAATTTGTTGAAATATTCGACTCTTTAAAATTTAAGTTGTTAATGTTTATAAATCATTTTTGGAACTTTCCAGTCTTTTTTTTACTACAAAGAAAATCGTACTAAACATTTTGTAATACATTTTTTCATACCTTTAATATAAAAATGTTATGAATTTTTTACAACTATGTAGTGGATTTTCCAACCAGGAGTCACAAAATTTAAATTACCAATTCTCCTTTCAACAATGTTTGAAGATGAAACCTTATTATGTTAACTAGATACATTAAACTAATAATTTTTAACTCTTTTAAAGTCCACAATATACATGATTTTATAGTACGAAATTTGGCATAAATATAGTATCTAAACTGAATACTAACAAATGTTTATAATTACCACTATCTGTTCCGTTATTTGCTTTACGAAGAGCAGTCAACTTCTCTACCACAGGTGCTGTGATCAAACTGTCATCAAACTCCAAGTAAGCCTTTATGAGGGCTTCTTTGTATTCACCATCTTTGTACAAATCATTTTTGACTAGAGCAGGTAAATTTTCAGATGCATATTGCGCCACCTCAGCACCGCCGTGCCCGTCGTACACGGCGAACAGCGACACGTCCTTGTCAAAATCCAGTATACAGTTGTGCGCATCCTGAAAACCCACGATACACACGTTAATAATCGGGGAATAAAAGACAAAAGAGAATATTGCTCGGTTATCGATCAGCCAAAGTTCGCGTCCGAAGCCTTGGGGTTTACCTCTTGGGATTCGCGCCAACCCTGCATGGAACTGGCGCCGCACTCCAACCGGTGGTTTTCCAAGTCCTGCGAGTGCGCGGTGGTTACCGGCTTGCTCAGATACGAACCCATGACGCAAGCGGCCGGGTGTTGCTGAGCGGTTGAATGAGAGGGGTAATCGGTGTTCGCTACCGGGTCTAGGTAGTGGACTGCGGCGACTGGTATAGGGTGCGTACGTTCAGAGCCGTGGAGTAGCGGAAGACGGAAACGGCGCGAATGGCACCAAGTGACGACCGGCTAAACGGCGAGAGATTGAACGGCCGAACGTGAAGCATGTAGCGGGTGCAGCGGGCCTGGTGTGCGCGTATGTAGCTGCAGGGACGGTTCCGGCAAAAACCAAAAACGTTGTTGCCGTAATACCGATCGACGATTGGTAATATTCAACGACGCGAAAAACCCAACGAACGCGACGGCGCAGCAATTGGCGGCGACGGCGAAATAAGATCGGACGACAAATTGTGTGCGCAGTGTCGCCAACCGTCGGCACTCATCATCTCTGACGGGCCGGTGTGACAAAGAGATTTATAGCATTCCTACCGGTAGAAATACGTTCAACATTACCATTCAATATCGTAATCCCCCGTGTTAGTCTCGAGGGTGAACACATATATATGAACATATATACTTATCTATGGTGAATACAGTTTGAGCCATGGATGACCGGCTATCGTGCCCAGTTTTGAAATCAACAACGACTTACTGAAACCTCTGCCTTGTTTAAAGATTTCGTCTACTCGTTCTGCTTGAATAATATTTTTTTTCTATACGACAACAAACCAAATCTATCATGATTCTGTTATTTTATTCAAAACCCCTGTAGGCGCAGTTTCGATGATTCTGAAACTATTTATCTATTACCAAAAAAATGTGAAAAATATTACTTATGCATTGAACAGATTTGCTATGAAATTAGACCTCAACTCGTCCTTCGATCCTTGAAGAAAAACTTCAGAATGTACTAGGTAGTGCCTAAAAGTGAAAATACATGTCAAACACGAACAAAGTTTAAACAGATTGAATAAAATTGTAGGTACTCGCAGAGTATTTTTTTGTGATCAAGTTCATATAAATAAGTGCCATAAATAATAGTTATAAAATCAAAACTGAGCAGAATAATGATCTTCAGTTAGTGATGGGTAAATTTGGTATTTTTGAGTTTTGATTTTATGGAATTATAAATTAATATTTATATACAAATTATAAAATATTAAAATATATTTAATATAAAAAAATGTACGTCCATAGTGTTCAATTGTTAATATTTTATATTATATTTTTAATATTTTTCTATAGTTATTAATTAGTGCCAAGGGCCGTATTTAAGATTTCTCCACCCAGGGCCAACACCATTTTGCCGCCCCTCTTTCCTGAAGTGTAAAACCGAAAATAATTGTCTCCAACTATTCAACAAAAATCCGCTTGCTATTCATTTTCCCCATTTCAGTACACTATTTCACAATATTTATAATTAATATCAAATCCAAAATAATAACTGAGTTATAATTACAGAACTAAAGTTATAGAAAATTGAGTGTAATAAGACTGATAGTGGTACCTTTAAATAATTCAGTACCTTTTGGTCTGAATTTTTCAATCCATTACAAATCAAGATTAAACCAATACCTATATCTCAATAAAATACTCTTAAATAGATATAAATTTTGTACACTACAAAATAATATAAATGATTTTATAGTATACTTAACATTTATTTTTTATATAATTTTATTCATTCAAAAATAATTTTCTATTAAGAATGCAAAAACAATCGATTTGGTTTTATTTAGAATCACCGTAAAAATATTGCCACCCCCTTAAATATTTCAGGAAGTGCAATTGCCTCCCCAAACAACCCCTTAAATACGGCCTTGTTAGTAGGTACCTATTACATATTTACACAATTAATGTAAAATTATAACATTTAACAACCATCAATCTAGCATAAATTCATACCTAGTACTTAAATATAAAATATTTAGTCATCAATCATATAGATAAACCACAATGTATACTATTGAAAATCCTTTTGTGCATTATAATGTAGGCAAAAAAATATAAAATTTTATACTTTTAATACCTAATAACTTTAAAAAAAGAAAATCGTAAATCAGTTAAAGTAACAAAAAAACAATAAATTAGAGATATGTTCTTTGCAAATGACTTCATCTTATTCAACTATTAACCCAAGTGAATGATTTGAACTACAGTAAAGCCTCAATAGTTCGAATAACAAATATATTTTTTTTTTTTTATGTAGATATTTAATATATTCGTAATATTAAAAGTATTTTTTAGAAAAAAATTACTATTATATTTGTTCTATTATAATACATTTTTTTTTTTTTTTATTTCATTATGTTCAAGTTATTTATTATTTTTGTAATTTTAAGTGCAATAAATACAAAGATGGTGGAAATAAAAATCTTATTAATTCAAGAAAGGTCATCTTGAAAAACCTCCAGTAATCTGAACGATGCTCAGTTTGAATTCGTCTGGACTATCGAGGCTCTACAGTAGTTCACTTAAAGGTGAACTATATTGTTCTTGAAAGAATGAATGAACAAATTGTCATTCATTGCGACAAATTATTCAATTAACAGAGGTATCTTATTGTTCAATGAACTATAAGTTCAAATAAGTGAACGAATGAACTAGTTCACCTAAGTGAGCAATAAGTCCCATCTCTATAATAAATATTAAACAAATCAATAATAGTGACATAACCATACATAGCATTAATAGGTACATTAAAAAAAATATTTACCCAAATTTTGGGTAGGTAAAAAAACCCTTGGACCCAGACATAATATATTATATCTATGAACCTACCTACTCGCCGAGAATTTATCAATGGCACATCACTACCTCCAGAGAAAGCATGCAACCACATTACATGAAATTATGATTCAGATTACTATTCAGATTATCTAGTGTTACTTTAATTTTTATGATAATTAACCCTCAAAATTTCATTATCAAAAAATTACATTGAAATTCATTGATTTTAATCTAAATAGTATCACATTCTTACAAAAAGCACTATTAAAATAAGGCGAATAATATTTGTGTGGAAATAGGTACCCTGTTTGTTTAAAATATTATAACACTAAGCTATCATCATATTAGTATGATATTCAATGAATAATTTACTAACCATGATTGCTTTTTTACATAATTTTATTTTTATAAATATTTATATTAACTACTAATATTTTTAAATATATAACTTAATCATGTATTAAAGAAAATGATTAGATGATACATTTTGATCAGCTTTAAGTAAATATAACACAAATAGAATAAAGACTATGACAATAAAAAGAAAAAACAAACAATTTCATAAAAATTGTTTATATTTATCTAAAACAAAGTTTCAGCTAACTGTAGTATAACTACAAAATATAAATAGTGCTATAGAGTAATAAATAATAATATTTAAACATGGATTAACTAGTATTAATAAAAAATATGCAAATATAGATACACACATAATAAATATATATAAAATATAAAATTAAAAAAGGTTTTTACCACTTTGATGTCTAAATAAAATTGTGTTCTTTGTAGTTATAAAATAATAATAATAACATAAAAATATGTAAACCAAATATATATATATTTGAATATTTCTAAGTTTCATAATAATAAATGAAAATTATAAAATTTAATAAAATGAAAAAATGAAGAAGTCTTTTTAAATAATTAAGTAGAGTATATAATTTCTAAGTTCAAAATATTGCATCTTTACCAACAATTGAATTGAACATTTTTGTACAATTCAACTAATTAATTACTGTATAAATCTTTAAATAAATTTTTCATTAATTTTAAACTATGTAAAAAATAATAAGCTTTTAGATGACTTGAATACAAATTCTTTTTTTTTTGTTTTTATATTGTTGAATGGTCCATGATGTTCTTAATCAATGATGGCGCAATCCTAAATTAAATAAAAAATTATAGATAAACAAATCATATTTTTAAACAAAATTAAATTTAGTATTTAAGGTTTAAATACATTTATTAAAATACACATTCATGACTATTTTATTAAATAATATTTAACATACTTTTTAATCATATGATCATAAATTGAAACAGGAATGATAGTAATAGTTATCATGTCTGAGGCTTTTGCAATGATTTCCACTATTTGTTTATCTTTCAAGCCAATAATGTTTTGTCCATTTACTTCCAATAACTGGTGATCAGTAAGCACTCCATTACGAGCTGCAGATGAGTCTTTGACAATATCGGTAATCTTACCATTTTTAAATTGAAAACCAACATGGCCAGCGCGATCTTTATAAAGATTAATGGAACGTTCTAAAGGCCTAGGTGAATAAAAATAAAAATTTTATAATTATTCATAACTATATAGATGATTTTGATGTATCAATAATAAATTAATTATAATAATATTGTACGTACCAATTACATACTATTACAATTAGTTTGTACAACAAAATAACAATAGTATTTATTTATTTTAATAACCTGATGATATAATTATTATTATATAACATGGATGGGTAACTAGCAGCTCATGGGCCATATCTGGCCTTCATTTTTTTTTTTTTTTGCTGGCCCATACTGCACTTTCCAATCACTTCATTACATTTTAGGGATTATCAGTATCTAATTTTTCACATTAATCGTAAAATGTAGATATTATATCATTCTCTAGCATTGAACTCCAGCTAAATCATTAAAATGTATTGATAATTTATATCCATATCGGCATAACTAACTTTTCTATAGGTCAGCGGTTCTTAAACTTTTTTGGTTCAAGATCCCCAAAACTAAAATAATTTTATTATGCTTCCCATGAATAAATAAAACAATATTAACTAGTTATTTTAATAATATCAAATTACTGTAGATCTAAAAATAAATATATGATAGTGAGATATATAATATAAATATTTGACTTGTGCTTTCACCAATAAGTCCTTAAGTGCAATAAGTGCAGTTCACAGTTTGGGAACTACTGCTGTAGGTATTAGGCTCTTATTTTATTATATTGGTTCAGACGTAAAATTTAATTAATTTTAAAAAAATGCTTGTTGTTAATTTTAATAACCTTTTTCTAATTTTTGCTTTTTTTACTACAATCTGCCAGATTTTAAAGTTCTAAAAATTGGCTACCTGGTTGCTTAGTGTTACCCATCCTTATTATATAATATCTAACCAGAACTTATTATATTGAAAACTATTATCATTTATACATTACCGGTCTCTGACAATAACATTGATATTGTTAACGGAACATTCTCTAAAAATTTTGTTCACTTTGTCAACACTCATTCCTGCAATAAAATCTTCATTGATTTGTAAAATTTGATCCCCAAATCTCAAACCTGCTTTAGCAGCTGGACTGTTTTGTATTACGACACTAATAAATACACCATTGTTAAATGTAGACAATTTTAATCCAACTTGGCCTTTACTGTCTTTACACAACACCAACTAAATATTTTAAAATTAAATTTTTCAGTAATCAATAATTTAATAAATAAATAATAATAGTTAAAATTACCTTACGAACACCATTTGTTACATATGATGGAATATCATGGAATGTATGGGCTACAGCATTATTTTGTGCTAGAGTACTAAGTTCTACACCCATGTAATCGTTGAGTATTGGATACATGGCACCCAACGAATCTTGATCCATACCTGACGGGTGAGGTGGACATATTGCCATATAAGGCGGGGGATTATCATTTTGTTGAATAATTTGATTTTGAGCCTAAAACGCACATTAAATGTAAATCATATACATTTGCCACTTACTGCTAGGTGGTAAAAAGTAAAATAAAACCATATTTGGACAGAATGTTATTTTTCAACATTGACTGGACGTTATACAAAAACACTGACCTTAACAAACTCGTCCAATTTCAAATCTTCCAACGAAGGGTATAAAGACATGTTGACGGTATTTTTATCACGTACTAATAGAAGTAGACGCGACTGTATAGATTTGAAACGTCAACAGTTAAAAAATACGTCAAGTTTTGTGAGAATATTATTATTATTACGGATATTTGATCTTTGAACAATGGTAATAGTTATGAAACATTATCAACTGCAGAAACACTGTAAGAGAAGTATAGAGAACAAATTGTGTACTACAATGAAATATACAGTATGGTTTCCGCCTTATCAGTTTTCTTTTTCTCCGTCCTGATAAGTGCACCGAACTAATGAGGAAGTGGCAGGTGCAATGTTGTGGTGTGGACTGCGGACGTGAGTCATAGGTTAATGACATATATTTCGATAAAAAATCCCATTAGATCATTGGTTATTGGTATGGTGCACACACAAATATAAATAATAGTGGTGCAAAGATGGAACTATCCATGGTCATTTCATTTATTTATTTCCGACTGTACCGAGAGTTGTAAGCAGTGCCGGACAGAATGTAAAATAAACTAGATTGCTAACTGCTGCTAGGTGCTAACTGCAGCTGTAAAAATCTAGTAACGATACGTTTTAATATTTTTAAATAATATTAATAGATATTTAGGATACTAAATTATATTTGAGTTGAGTTATTTCGGAGGTGGCAAGAACGTTGAGAAATAGTTCAAAAATCGCATAAGCCTCATATGAAGTGAAATGTCAATTCAATACGTAAAAAATAATTATAAAAAAAAACTATTTGACATTGTTCGTACATTTATTTTTCGACTATTAATTAACCCTTGTAAACTTGGCACCGCAACTTAAGCAATCAATATTCAAACTAATAATTACGTTAGTGGGTTGTTAGACATTGTAAAATAAATTTTAAAGTTTGTTAGACTTGATTTCAGCTGTTAAGTAAATTTCAGTTTTGTACTGCTAACTTCACTTTGAAATTCCCCGTTACTAGTTTGACCTCATTAAAATTCTTCACGCCAAACGAGGCCAAAAATATATGATTCTAAAATAATCGAAAAAAAATCTCCGGGTTCCGACTCAATAACTTCAGAAGTAACAGAAAGTCTACCTAAAATAACAAACATTTTCCTAACACATGTAATTAATGCAATGTTGAGATAATTTTATTTCTCAACACTGCTAGTTCACACATAGCAATTTTTACAAAGCCAAGTAAACCTTCTAACCCACAAGGTTCATATAGACCTATAAGCCTTATACCTTTATTCTCAAAAAGTTGTAAAAAAAAACTTATTATCCAACGAAATATCAAATATCCACTATGATTACCATAAATTATATATACGCCCTATATCCCCACTTTGGTTTTCGAGCCAAACAAAGTACAATACGCCAAGCAGACAGATTGGTTGATGTTTTTACTTCAATTCATCAACAATATCTACTTCATTTAAGTATAAACAATATTGCTCTTGTGTTTTCATTAATATTTCTCAAGCATTCAGCCGAATAGACCATTATAATTTTCTGCTTTCTCACTATTTCGTTTCATCAGATCCTTCGGTACTTTTACCACAGAAATGGTTCTAATCAATGCAAAATTAGTCCAAAAATATTATTAAAAAAAAACTTTACTCAAATGTCATATCATGATTACGAGTTAAACAACTCATTTTGTAATTAATTAACACGCTGCATATATTTCAGATCATCCTCTAAAGAAAACACCTTTGTTGCTGATTACATAGATGATAAAGCCATAAAATCTAACCATGAAACTCCTTATTAATACCTACAGTCAATCTGCAATCCCATTAGAATCTTTTTTCAATATAGTAATCTAAATGAAGAATACAATTAAACTACAACGCACTTATACATACAATCTTCAATTTAATACATGAATTATGTCCAACAGTTTTTAATTTGTATTTTTTTTTTTTTTTTTTAAGATAGATACTACGTTATGATATAATATAAAAATAAAAAACAAACATATATATATATATATATATATTCATTTTTTTTTTTTTTTTTAATGCTTATATTATATTTCTAAAACACAGTAAACTGCAATTATATATGAAATTGGGGATACGGTAAGAACCTCCACGTAGTCCCTCTGGTCATAGAGTTTTTTTTTTCATACCCCACACCATGTAATTATTTATTTAATATTATTTATTATAATATTAATTATTTATAAATTATTTACGATTACGACAAAAACTATAATTACTAATAATAAATTTCGAGAATTTTTTGCTCTTGCTACGTATTTATTTAAAATTGGAGAAAAACAATTATTTAATAACTTAAAATTAGGGTAGTTAATCATGACAGTTAAATAAATAATTTATCATATCAATTATATAACATTTATTCACAATAATATAAAAAATAATGTTCACGTACATATTTCAACAATAGTTTTTTTTTAATAAATCATACACTATTTTATGGTGGAAAATTATTTTTATTTTTAAATTAACAATAATTATTAATTGATTCTCTAACTAATAAGCAAACTAGAAAAATTAATTATTTATTTTTACCTGAGTCAAAAAAACTAATGTCAACCAGACTTAAAAATACTAAGATCAATACAAATAGTAGTCAAAATGATAGTGATAAGATTAAATCGACAACTCCAAAAACCGCACATTTTAGAAAGATATATAATTTATTATTTATTATTTATACTACATATTTATTCAAAAACAATTTATTGAGGTACAATGTATATAAGCATTAAAAAATTTAAAATATAAAATTTAAAAAAATATATATAAATGTTTGTAGTTAAAATTTTTTACCGACGTTTTTTCAAAAAATTAAAATATAAATAAAAAATAATAATAATTGCCCCCCTTTAATACTATCTTCTTCTTTTTCTTTTTCTTAGGGTTTATTGGACCTTTAAGATCACCCCGTCTCACAATCTTTATTATTATCAATAGTTTTAAAATCCATTTATAAAAAAACACTTTTGTTTTATAATATATATATACGGTAGAAAAATGTACTGGTTATTTTTCGAGCACATCAACGTGCGATAAGATAAGCTTTTGAATGTAACAATTAACTTTAAAATTTTTTTTTTTTATTAATCGAAAAAGACACAAATACATATATTATTATTGAGTAACATTTTCGATTATTTTTCTCCTTTAAGCAAAGCTTGTATTGGAGAAAGAGAGTTATATATGATATAATTATTGTAATTATAGAATTTACAAGATACAGAGTATAAGTTCTAAGTACATATTAAGCTAAATATACAAATAGTTTATAAGTATTATCAAGAAAATGTATATGATAAAGAAAGAAGTATAAAATAAAGATATTAGTCTAAGATACACAAATAAAACCTCATAGCTTAATATTTATACAGTTTAGAAATAAAATGAAATAATAACAACTCATTATTTAACTCGAGAAATAAATATTTATATACCAAGCCTTTAATATTAATCCTTTAATCCCCAAATATTTTTTTTTTAATTCAAAAGGCATAGAATTGAAAAAACGTTAGTCCAAGATAATCTACAAAACATTGACCAAAAGATTTATTCGTATAATTAACAGTCAAATCAAATTACCTCAATTCTCTTTTATTGCTCAACTCTTTATGATAATTATCTAAGTTAAATTTCTTAACCAAGTACATAATAGCAATTTTTTTATATAAAAACTTTATTGGCAATATACCAAGTTTTTTATAGTTGGCTTTCGTAGATCCTTCTAGAGTGAATTTATTTAGGCAAATTCTGACCATATTATTTTGATTAACTACTAGTGCATTTAATATGTTATCCCGAAGGCCACCCCATATCAATGGACCATATTATAAGTTTGATTGATATAGTGAAAAATATACAATTTAGATTGTTTGTTTAGGTACCATGTTTTTTGAGTTTGTTCAATTTAAATGTAATAAAACGTAGCTTTCCTAATAAATTGTTAATATTGTAATGATGTGCATCATTCGATTGTAAAAGACGGCACAAATATTTTATTATGTATACTATTTATATGTACGTGATTTTTAAAACTATTTCAAATAAATAAATAACGGTATCTTCGATACCCGCGTGAACAACACCCTATATAACAGGGACACACACCACCCTTCAGAGAGCTCTTGATCTTAGGTTGTTAGTGCATGCGCACCGATCGTAAGACCAACGAAGAGTTTATATATGCGATAAATTTTGATTTATAATTTTAATCCGTTCGACTTGTGTTTTTCGGACGAGTATTGAAGAGTATCCGAATCAAGTGCAATTAAATTCTGCATTTCTTTCAACCTCGCATCGAAATCTGAAGGTCTACGGCAAAATAAGTAAGTGCTGTATTATTTAGCTTGGCAAACTGTACAATTGCGCTGATTGGCTCTCGAACATTCTCAACCCTGAGAGCCCTCCCTTGAACAAGGAGGAAGGTAAAAACCCTTTAATACATTAATTCCTCACCACCTCACATATATACCACTCCCCCATCTTACATCTTTCATTCCTACCTTCACCTATTATTTTTTGTATCTTTGGGTTATTACAATATGAAAATTTAATTTTAAGTTTTTATCAAAGATAACACCCAAATATCGAATTTTTCCAACTATTTTAATTATTATGCAGTTTTCCTGGTTACATATTTTATTATTGACGCAGCCATTTACTGCTATAGTATTGAATTTACAATCTGTTTTATTAATTTAAAATGCGGCCTTAAGTATTTTAATTTATAAAAAAAACTCACAAAATACTGAATAATTTTTGTAAACGCAATATTAATAATAAATTTTCCTTACAATGATGCAAGCTTTTGTTAATTTTATTTAAATCAATCACTTATAAGTAGCAATTACAAGTAATTCCATTCTCCGACTTTCTTACATGCCATCTACTTGGAAATATAATACTCATCTATAAACCAGGTAAACTTCCCGAAAGGCCATCCTCTTAGCGACCTATAAGGCAGCTCTTTGTTGTAGGCAAATTATGCGAAAAACTTATTCTCAAAAGAATTTCGAAAATCGCAGTTGCAGATAAAGTTATCCCTAACTTTCACTTCGGCTTCAAATCTAAACACTCCACAATACATCAACTGCATAGAGTTGTCGATCAAATCTCGTTAACATTCAAGAACAAAAAAGTTTGCATTGGTATATTCCTAGATATCGCGCAAGCTTTGGACAGAGTTTAGGTGTGATTCCTTAGTACGCGTTTGTAGACGAGCGACTCACGTGACTGACACGGCGTGATTTGAATTTTTGC